TGTCTTATACCACGTATAGAATCCTGCAGTATAAGAAACTGTGCCTATCTCTTCACATAAATGCTCATGAACTCAAATACTAATTAGTTTAGGTTATCATGTCAGATATCAGAACACAATGTAATAAGCCTTCAACTTGTAAGGACAAAGGAGAAGATTTTTAGAAGATCTAGAAGAAGTTTGTTTATAAGCTAATCAAACAGTTTCATAGCTGTTGATTTAAAATATGAATAACATTATTTTAGAACAATTCCTTCCACCATAATGCTGTTTTCAGCATGGGTATCAGATTTCCTGAATTCTTTGCTTGAAAAGTTGCGTTAGCAGTACTCGAGTCTGGCAAAAGAAAAGAACATGGGATTTTTTAAGCTAAATGGTATCTTCAAAGCTTTATGGTGCCAGTTGTATTAATGATCCTGGAAGAGAAAGTACACAGCTATGATTTCTCAGGCATTTAAGATACTAACAGTTTCAAATATGTTTCCAACTGAAAAGACAGCCTTCCTTGCCATATTTTTTTGTTATTGAAAATCTGTCCCAGTTCCAGAAAAACACTTCTGAGATGCAAGCCCTTACTTCTTTGTCCCACAGCCTCTGAAAGTCCATTTTACTCTGGAAATTAGTATTGTCTGACACTATACTCTATCCCTGTGTTCTGACAGTTCCTCCCATTCCTGAGATAAAGGTACTGTATTGTACAAATCAGTTTAAAAATAAAGAATAAAAAAAATAAAATAAAGAATAATAAGCAGTATTTTCCTTTATGAATTTATATTTTTAATTGTAAAAAGGAAAAGAGAAACTGTTTTATAGTTGAAGACTTTAGAGTCACAAAAATCCAATAAAATATTCCAGTTTTGACATAGAATTATATTTCTGCTTTTTGCTACGTCCTTTACATTCTGTTTGTTTTGTTTTTTCTTTGTTTCATTTATTGTTTATTGTACTCTTTATGTGCTCTTTGTTTGTGTATTCAGTGCATGGTCAGAACTTCATAAGAATAAAATTATCATCTATTTAATTTACCTCCTTAGGCTTATCTCCTCAGAGCTAAATCAAGGGCAAGATTTTTTAATCTCTAAGATATTTTATTATTTTAATGAGTTTCTACTAGTCTTCATTTCTACTTCATGACATAATCCAGCTGAGTGGATTTTAGCCCTATTCATTTTGCTATCACCAATAGAGATTTCATTTTTCATGTTCATTTTCCAGTAGCTTTGATTCTTATACTATTTATCAGAATCCACCGAAGGGTTGAAGGAAGTCTGTTGAAGGAAAAAAAAACTGTTTCAGGGCAAGAAGACAAATCAGGTGTCCTTAATTAACCCTCATATTGCTATTAAAAAGCCCACTGTTTTATTTTTTAAAAAGCACACACACACAAAAAAAACAAACCTAAAAAACCCAAACCAAGCACAACAAATAGGTGCTCCAAAAATAACGATAAACTATTATTTTGAGGTTGCATTTATTACCTACTTTTTATAGGTCATACAAATGGATAAATGTTCTCTATATTATTCACCATTATTAGATTACAAATATTAATCACTAGAATAACTAGCTTTGAATTTCCACTGTTTTTACATTTCTCAGCTGTGCTTCAGTACCCTCATTCGGAGTGGGTGTCTTACAAGAATAAAAGAAGGAAATAATTTGATACCTGATGTGAGCTCTTGCTTTCAATAGGACATTGTTTATTTAAAAAAGGGATGAATGGTCTTACTTAGATATTCAAGGCAGCTAAACACTTGAGACTCAATTAAATCTCATGAAATTGTGCATTCTGAGGACAGAAAAGCTGCCTTCCCCCACTTGTAATTAGAATTAAATATGGGGAGCTGAGAACAACAGCAATGGGAGGAAGAGGAGGTTAGAGTAATAGAGTTGACTTAATTTCAGAAGCTTGAAAAAATAGTGAATAAATTAGATTGTTAAAATTCATTTTGTTGCAAGTTGACAGGTACTCAGCACAGGTAATTAATTCAGTGAGTTTTAATAAACTAGAATTAGAAACAAATAAGAAATATCTCCTTGTAAAGCAATGGGGAAGATGTGTACCACTATCTCTTGGTGCAGACAGGTTGACACATTGCCACTTCTGTGAGTTGATGGGCCAAAAGGTTTTGGTAATGCTGCATGTGCAGCAAGGTGAGGGGAGGTGGTGGTCCCTAGGCAAGGGAGAAGAGGAGATGGAGAAGGAGAGATTAGGAGTAGTCCATGACCTGGTGAGAAAGAAAAAATTACTAATAAATTACTTGCTAAAATTTTGGCTCCCTGTCTAGACATACTCAATGCACTATTTGATAACAGCCTTTGGTGTTATAAAAAATAAATTTTTGTTCCTATTTGGAAATAAACTTCCCAGAGACAGCAATTGCTCAGACAGAAAAGCATTGCTTGTTTAAATGTTTAGCTAGGAGGAAGAATACAGAAGTACATAAAAGCCAAATTTCCAGGGGAGTATTGGTCAACCTTGCTGAGCTGCTAGCTATACCTGGGAGAGGGGAGTTACATTTTCCAGGACTGCTTCACTGCTTGGGGAAGGAGAGAGGCTGAATTCATTTCAAGCACTGTCTGCACATGATTCTGTCATGATGATCCCACAGTGGCTGTTAGGTGTTTTGGGGCTGCTTTGCATCTTTCTCATGGTATGTGATGCAAATATGCTGTTATACCAGTGATACAGATTTACCATTGGTGTTCATTAAAGACCCCTGTCTGCCATACAGAAGAGTTAGTTATAATCAGTAGTCATATATTCCACCTAGAGCACAGATTGCTTCTAATGAAACTTTCTTCTTTCTTCTCATTTTGTGATCCGCATGACCATTAACATTTTCATCACAGTTCTGTCTTCGACAACAGCCATGTTCACATTTGTCTCAGGTTCTCATCACCTATCTTTCTTTCAATACAGCAGTGTTTTCACCAAAAAGATCAGGATTGTTCTGCATTTGCATTTGTAAGGGAAATAGTATAAACATGTTTTTTTCATGGTAGTACTGTGTTTTACCTATGCAATTTCTCCCTAAAAGATTCTGTACTAAACAAAAGTTATTTTATGGTCAAACTCCAACAGAACATGCTAGCTTTTACAAAAAACATTGATAGGAAAGTAAATTAAAGTTGCATAGTGGGAATTCATAACATATGAGCCAGCTAGTAAAAGAAAGAGCATTCCCATATTTTCTATTATATTTATTGTGTGTTTCACAGCATAGTTTTCATTTTAAATAATTATTTATTTTTCATATAGAGGAAATACTGTTCTCAGTCAGGCTTTAACAGGATAGATTTTATGAATCCACACCCTTTAGGGACATCTAAACATGAAAATTAATGGTAAAATCTAGAATGGAATGTCTAGTGACTTTCCAGGATCTACTGTTTTTTTCCAGTTTACGTTCCCTGCTTTTTAGAAATAAACAATAGTTCTCTTGTATATAATTATACAGAACCTCTTTCTCCTAGATTTAAATAGGCAATTTGACCCAGGATTAGAAAACAAGGAGTTTGTCACATCTGTAAATTCATAGCAGGGAATCATTAAGTTTTGATTCTTCAAGTCAATAACTTTTTGAAAGTTCAGAGGTTGATACCAGCTAATGCTAATATCAGCTGATATCATCTATCAGTTATGTATTTGAGATAACTATGGCAGTGAACCAACTCAATTGATTTCAGATATGAATCTGGAAAATTAACAAAATAGAAAAATCAAAACAAAAGGGCCTGAAAATAATTAGGAATATAAAATGAACTAAAAAACATGCATGGTGCCATATATATATATTGACCTTCTCAAATTTTTGCAGCTATCAGCCTTGATTCAACAATATATGCAAGTATCTATATATAATTAGGGACTTGCATATTTTCTCCCTAAGAAGTTTGCTGAACTGGGATTTTAGTTAAAAAAATTGACTAGCTATTTATTATATGCATGTAAGATCGCCATTAGATGTGTACACTGCATAAAGAAATAATCATAAAAATAATATATAAGTTTCTCAACTATGATTTTGCATTTTTAGTATTGGGTGTGTGAAATATATATTTTTTTTAACCTTAATATAATTTTGACACTTGAAATTGTGATACAGATAAATTGTGCTAAGTATATTCTCAACATTACTGGTGTGGCTTTGGTTCTGGGGTACATTTTGTAGCCTGTAACTGGTGCTTTAAGCAACACAGTGGAGGACAGATCATTATTTATGCCAAGAAGCTATGATGTCAAGTTTAATTAAAGGCCACAGTGACAAAATATAGCTGATTCTGTGTGCTTAAAATACTTTTTAAATGACAAATGACTGACATCCATAAAAACAATAGCTGGGGTAATTATTAACATCACGATATTTAAACCTGACTAAAAAGATCTCAAGCAGTGCATTCCAAAAGGTTAACTTTCTATAAAATTTAAATTAAAAAATCAAATAAATCAAACTTAATATCTTGCATAAAATTCATATTTACACTCATGGTCCTACCTCTGTGGATGGAAAGAAAATATAACTGGCAATTAGGAGCATATCCCCACATTTTCTTTATTTAACTCTGTGAGATTTTATAATCGGTACCTTTGTAGCTTGCTTACCACAATGGCTTTATGATGATGCCTGGTCAAAGTAAATATGTAAAGAAAAATCTGGTGGCATGATTTATTTTGTGTTCTTTGCCCCTGCTCGGCACACTCAGTGTTTGTGAAAACAGTCAAAACCTCTTCTGTCTAATCCCCATCAACATCTTTTTCTTTCTCTCTCTCTTTGCGGCCACCACATCATAAAGCAGGAGCTGATACTAAGGATAAAGGTCAAGATGATAGAAAATGACAACGCTTTGAATTGAAAAGAGAAATGAGTGTCCCTAAGTATTCAGCATGAGCTTCTCTTTGTTCCCTGCAGGGCATCTGCACCACAACCACCGCATTTTTACACTTCTTCTTCTTAGCTTCATTCTGTTGGGTTTTGACAGAAGCGTGGCAGTCGTATATGGCTGTTACAGGAAAAATTAGGACACGGCTCATAAGGAAACGTTTCCTGTGCCTTGGATGGGGTAAGTCTGGAAAATTCATTTCCTCAGAATCACTGGAATTAAATGTTTAATGCAGCACCAATGTCAAGAATATAATAATTTTCTTCAGTAAACCTGAAAGATAGTAGACAGCACATTACTGAAAAGAAAACTAGGTTACAAGCCTTTCTTATTTATCTCAACCTCAAGCTATGCTGGTGTATATTTTAGCATTCTTTTATAAATGTATTTTTACAATATTTTAGAAGATTTCCAGCAAAGTATCAAGAAATCAGTATAAAATAAGAAAAAACATTCACTGCATATTCATGAAGCGTCTTCCTAGTTCACTTTAAGACCTGTCAAATGTACCAGTAATTTAGCTACATAAAAGCGGTACACCGTGGGCAGAAAACAGTGTCCTCCTCCCTGCCAGTGCTTCAGAAAAACAAATCCTGCAATAGCACTGTGCTTCATTAAATGATTCATTCCATGTAAAATTGGCCATTTTGCATTAGCTTGCCCCGTTGTCATTTTTTGTCCAGGCAGAACAATATTTTGCTCAGCATCTAATGGTTATTACTGTTTTGATTATTTTCAGGTTTACCAGCATTAGTGGTTGCAATATCAATAGGCTTTACCAAGACAAAAGGATATGGAACAGCCCACTAGTAAGTCAATCTGAAATGATAAATTACATTTTTAATTAACAAGAGTGTCATACCCATCAGGAATTATATAGTGTAGTCTAAAGCCTCTACAGGTATCCATTCACACTTGGAACTGCCCTAAGAGTCACTGAGTAGTCCAAAAAAGAACAAAGAGAAACCATATGCCAGTCTTGGACTGAGCTCAGCAAAGCACCAGGGATTTTGGATAACTTGTGAAGATTGGATGTAGATGTTTCTTTTAGAAACACTGAGGATCAGATCCATTTCTGGATGCAGCAAGTCTTTTAGAAACACTGAGGATCAGATCCATTTAGACACCTAACATTTATATATATTTACCAAAGAGAAGGTTAAATGTTATGGCTAGCCTTTGCCAACCTTTAAACATATCTATATCTGTACTGGCAAGGGTATCTTTGGCAGCCGGGTTTCTGCCCACCAAGGATGTACCTCACCTTTAATGCTCCTGAGCTTCTTGGAGCCAAAGTCCCAAAGAAATCTCAAAATAGCTCTCCCATCCATCCCTTCTCTCCTGGAGTGCCAGATCCAGCCCATTTCCTGGACTGGGTTGTACTTGAGAGACAATAAGGAGCAGATCTGTCTACTCCATTTACATTTTATCAATACAGTTTCTGATTAGCCTCCTGACCGGTTCCATTGCATGTTTAGCACCCTGGAAAATTCACTTCTCAGGGAGGCTGTCCTTCAGTTGTCTCCTGCTGAGAAGAAGGAGCTTAGGCTGAGCCTTCCTCATGCCAGCAGAGCGCTCCAACCACGGAGATGTTTTGTATGCGAAAGTGCATTTCCTTCGATCATCCTGTTTGGAGCTCTCCTCACGTTGCCTAAGAAATTAAGTATGCATCTGGACAGAAACAGAGGAAATATGACTCTGTAGCCTGGTAATGAGGGCATTCATCAGAGATGAAGATGAGTTAGGTCAAGTCCTTGCTTCAATTAGGATTTAATTGTTCTCAATAGCATCATCACAGTGAGATCAGGATTCCCCCTCCCTGCCCTGGGTGTCCCATCCTCTTGGCACATGGCAGGGAGGCTTCAAGCCCTCACTCCAGCTCTGAGTGGGTAAGGATTCAAAAAACAAATCTCCTCCTGAATACCAGCTCCAACCACCGAGGTCTTTAGTTTTAAATTGCAACAACATGCATCTTGCATTTTTTAAATTAGGAATGACTTACCTAACTGAAGTACTTTCACTTATAACTGGCAATCATTAGTGAGACAACAGTCTTAGCCGTCTTTTGGGAGTTATATTGAGGACTTGCTCCTCTGACAGTTTTTTTTAATTAATATATGCTCATCTCACTGGGTTTGGGGTTTTTATTATTATTTAGTCCTTGAACAAGGACTAGAGAACTATTGAGGCTGTGACAATTAAAAATTGTAAGATTACAATGTCCAGACCCCATTGAAGATCCTTGCAGGATCAATCCCACTGCATTTACTCTACTGGAATTATTCATGTGTGACTACTTGCTTTAGTGAGTATTGCTTCCTGCTGCCTTCCTGTGCTGAATGCATTTTTAAAAGAGGATACACTGAAATATTCAGAAAAATCAACAAATCATTCATTAAGGGTAACCTGGAAAGTAAAAAGCAGATCTCTGTACATGTAACAGCTCCTCTCCCAGGACCCAGAATTAGTTGACAAGGTACCATGGAACAAAAGCAGAAAAAGAGATGTACAAGGAACAAACAGAACCATAATGCAGCTTTCTCATCTTATTTGCAAATACATTTTCTTGGCCTTTGACATCAGAATTACACAAGGGAAGCAAGGAATGCAAGAAACAGAAATTCCTGCTCCATCACCAGCTTATGTGCTGTCCCACCCTAGAAGCCATCAAAAAATTGTGTCCCATAACAGCTGTGGGGTCGTGTGAAAGCAGAGCTCCTGTCCTGCTTCTCCTCCCGTAACTAAAGCACTTGTGTAAATTTTTTAGCTGCTTGCTCTATATTTGACGTGTTTGGCTGCAATCAATTACACACATGCTGCCATCAGAAATGCATCCTGTAGCAAACTATTCCTGGTCTGCAAGGTGCTATGTTTGAAAATTACATTTTCAAATGGGGGAAAATTACACACATGAAGAGACTGATGGAAAATGAAGGATCTTTGAAGCAGATCTCAGTTTCATGCAGTATATGAATGATGGTAGTGGTTTGAGATGTTCACACTCAAACCAATTCTGTGATCAACAGTCGCTGATTTCTATCTTTTTCTTTCAGCCCTAATCATTACACAGTTATATTATTGTACATATCAAACTACGTATGGACGCTATTTCACACAGACGCTTCTACTGATATAGATACAGAAGTTGTAGGGATTTCCTAAAAATAATAAAAAATTCAGTGACAAAGTTTTAAATATTTTAGGGTATCTGAAAAATATTTGTGTGTCTGAAAACTTGATTGTTTTTTCCAACCGTTTCTATGAGTCTAATGAATAATATTGCTACCTCTCTTCAGATGATCAGAGCTATGAAAGCACCACTACTACAATTTATAGTTAATACATCTGAGTGACCTACTCATGTTTTCATACACTGCTATATATTAATAAACAGTGCAGAAAGCTTCCAGGAATTCATTATATCATCAAAAATTTAAATTCCGTCATACTCATGTTCTCCTAAGAAAAGGAAGTCATGTTCTCCATTCTCCTGTAGAGCATCAAACAGCTCACAAAATGTACAGGACACAGGAGCAAGTCTACAGATACTTCATCACTCAGCAGAATTTTGTGACCAGGTAACATGGTCCCATAAAACCACCAGTGGATGCTCTTAATACTAATCAACTTATATGGCTTTCTGCTATGTGGGGATCGGGAAGAAAGGAGATAGAACAGAAAAAAGTAAAAACAACTATAAAACATAGAAAAAAAGCTATCAGAGCAAAGAAAAAGAAAAGAAGAATGAAAACAATAGTGAAAAATTGACAGCAATTACCTTACAGTATAAAATGGCACCTGAGAATTTATCTTCAGAAAGTCTTTGACAGGAAGTGATTGGGAACAAGAGCATTTCAGAGTCACATATTGAATAGATTGCAATAATCACGTCACGCATCGTTGAAAATCCAGATTGTTGAAAATTCAGATTGTGTAAAGAAAAGAGGACAACCTCTACATTTTTCCAGCTCTGTCTCTAAATGGAAGTCACTCTTTTGAACAGCCTTTTTACTTGAGGGCATGGGAGAGAGAGGAAACAGTTCTTCCTTAGTCTTACCAATTTTAGTGGTAGAAATTGTTTTCTTTTTATTTAAAAAAACCCAACTTGTTGACCCTTTTTTTTCAGCACAGGTAACTGAAATTATGTTTCAAATACAATACATCAACAGTTTTTATGAACTAATGTTTCTATCTCCCAATAAACACGACCATTTTAATTATATGTTTTAGTTATGCATAGTGATCATCTTCAGTAAGTTTAAACTTTCATACTGGTCAGGAAATGCACTATGAAAATATTCCTTCATCTCAGAAGCCCATGTTCTCAGTCTCTCACAGTAAAAACCTAGCTTTTGGAAAAAATAACATGAAAAATTGTATAAAATTTTGAAAGCATTTTTCTTTGACATTACAAAAATAAACTGAGTGTTATTGTTGTAGTTGTTTTTTGACGTATGATGTAAAAATAGCCTGATGTATTACCTTTTAAACAGTGAAACAGATATTAATTATTTGCATCAATTTATCATTCCAGAATTTAGCACACTGATTGGGTTTCTGTGTCAGATTTCACATGGGTCCATTGCAATAGGAAACACTTCTTTGCAGTTAGTAACATACCATTAATATTATGATTTGCTTTCATTTAATTTATTTGGATTTCAAAAGTATAGAAACAGTGCTGGAAAGTAAAGAAAATATGTATGATTCTGATGTTAATGTTTCTGGATGTAAGATCCAAGTACATTATTTGAATGCATATACTTGAGTTTTTTACATGTAGGTGTGATCATGCATTCAAAAAAACATGCATTTCTTTGAATGTGTAATCACTGGGAAAATAGCACAGCTGCATTTACTTCAGTGTGTGAAGCTCCTGATCTTTTGCAGATATGGAAAGCTTTACATCATGGTGTATCAAATATTTAGAATGTGATTCTGTAAGCGTTCTGCATTTGGAAATCTGATTGTTTTCAGTGAAAGCCCTGATGCAGTATGACAAACTCTGCAATATTAGTGTCTCACTAGAAAATACAGTTTTCAGATGCCTTAAAATATACATTTAAATTGTTTGCAAAATATTCTGGAGAACACAGAACAGACAGATCATATATGATTTTCCTTTAATGGGAATATTGTCTGTAAGACTTAGTCCTAATAGCAATTACTAAATTACAGAGAAGCCAATTTATTTATTTTTTTTTTTAAGTTCTACATTATAGGTACTGGATCTTTTATTGTTTTAAGTAGAGAACTGTCAGACATTGTAAGCTAGAAGTGTTTCTAGATATGTACTTGGCAAGTCCTGTTCAGACAACTCATCATACATCACAGAATCACAGAATGGTTGAGGTTGGAAGTGACCTCTGAAGGTCATCTAGTCCAACCACCCTGCTCAATCAGGGACTTCTAGAGCACATGAACCAGGGGTTTGTCCAGACGTTTTTTTAGTATCTCCAGGGAGGGAGATTCCACAACCCCTCTGGGCAGCCTGTTCCAGTACTCAGTCACCCTCACAGTAAAGTTCTTCCTTATGTTCAGGTGGAACTTACTGTGCTGCAGTTTATTCCCGTTGCCTCTTGTTCTGTTGTTGGGGGCCAATGAGAAGAGTCGGACCCTGTCCTCTAGACACTCTCCCTTTAGATATTTATAAACATTAATCAGATCCCTCTGAGCCGTCTTTTCTCCAGAGGAGATTCAATAAAGACTTACAAACTTGTTTTATATTGTGCTCATAGTACATTTTAGGAATTTCAGTTTATGTACAATTCACATTAAAACTTTTGAAACATTAATAGTTGGTCATGGAAGTAACTGTCAACTCTCTACATTGTCATATCAACAAAGTAGTTCTTTTTTGTATGTGCATGTGAATCTCTACGTGTAGAACTGAACATAAACCAGAAAAATCTCATGGTGTAGTAATTATTAATGTTTTCTTGGCAATGCATTATACTTATTTTTAATTTGTGTTAGTTCTTCTCTAATGTTCTTTCCAGTTGTTGGCTGTCTCTTGAAGGAGGGCTACTTTATGCTTTCGTTGGACCTGCAGCCGCTGTTGTCTTGGTAAACACTAATCTAAATTTCCAGTATTTTCATATGAAATGATGGAATGTGCTATTTAAATTACAAAGTCTTAGCTATACAGTAGCATTGCATTTTGCTGTAGATACTGAGCTCAGTAGTGTTTAACATACACCCAGTATTTTGAATGCATGATTCATTTAATTGTATCACTTCTTTATACCAGTTATCTCTCCATGTTTACACAGTAAACTGTGAAAAAATAATGTACTGATTGGTGGCACTGAAAACTTGTTACAGACATCACTGAGTTATTATCAGTAGCACCTATGCAATTGTCACTGCCTTCTGAAGTTCAGTGGCAGGCATTATCGATAGAGTGCTGCTTGGCAGTGTATCAATGTGCCAGCAAAAGCAACAGGAGAAGTGGAACCAGCCAGCAAGTTCTCCATGGCTACTGTTTTTGAAGGCAAAGAAAAAAATTACCATAGCTGGGACATGTTACTCATTTGTTTATTAAACTTGCACATCTCTGGAAATGCATTTAGGTGTAGGATGCACTTTGCCTAATTGTAGATATCTGCAATGTAAATTTCTGCATCTAAGCTAGTTATCCCAGACATATTTCATTGTCAGTGGAGAAAAATATGCACTTTCAGGGCTCAACCCATCAGAAGTATTTAATGTGTGTACTTAAGGGTAAGATGAATTACACACTACATGTGCCATCGGCTATCAGTCATCTGCTTTGGTGTCTATGGATTTTGTACAATAATTTGTTTCATGTTTTTCCCATACAGATTTTTAATCTAATTCTTTTTTCCACTCCATCAATTTTATATGAGGATAGCTCTATCAACACTGTTACTTCTGATTTTCCCTTGCAGAAGGGAATCGGTCTTAGTAATCATCAAAAATATAGCCATTTAGCTACATAGATTTTCCTGAAATGGATGCTTACTACTCCCATAGAGTTTGTCTCATCATTGTCTGGAGTCAAGCCAGGATCCTTTTGTACAACTCATAGTCCCTGTCATGATAGAGGAGCCAAGGATGTTTACAAAAAGGCAGTTAAAATTTTCACATGGAACTGTATGTTCTCTGTGTAATTGGCAAGCTTTGTTCAGAGATGTTTGAAGTTCACAGTTGCAGTTTGCCCTACCATTAGCTAGTAGCTGTGGAAGGAGTTGTTCCATGCAGCCACTTAAGCCTAAGTGTATGGAGCAAAAGAATTATATAACATCAGCTGAAAAATGTAAATGCTGAAAATAAAGTGATAATAACAAAAGCTGGAAAAGGGTTGGCGGGACAGACTGGCAGCAATTAGGTATTTTGGCACAGGTCTTGAAAAATCTGTTTGAAAGGAAAAAAGGATTACTCTTTTTTAATTATATAAAAAAAAAGAACATTTATTTAATAGATTCAGAACTTGCTATTACCTCTTTGCAGGGCCATGCAGAGACAGGTTCATAGAGTTCAGTTCAATAGTACAAATGGATAATAACAGTCATTAAGTTTTCCATTAAATGCCATTAGTATGTCCACTCAGTGTCAAAGTCTGACTGCTGAAACACTTGAATTTTTTTTTAGGCTAGGTCCTCAACCTATGTATGTGATCATAACACCATTTACTTTAATGGAGCTAAATGGACTTACCCCAGGCATTCATCTGGCCCACAAAAATAGGAAACTGAATTCAAACAAGGCTCAACACTGGCATTTTGGTGAATGACATAGACAATGACTAATGTGCAGGAGGATGTGGAAAACCACAGGCTGGTTCTGCGTAAGTGGGAACACCCACATGGGCCATAAATGCTTAAAAAGGAACATGGTTACGGTCATCGTGTGCTCCGACTAGCTCTTCTCTGTGCACACAACTCAGATGTAGTGGTTTTCCTGGAAAATAATCTATCTTTGCAATTAAAACTGATGAAATATTAAGGATATATTACTCAAGCTTCTGGCAGGCAGACATGTATGCATATGAACTTGATACAAGGCATAATTTAAGAATCAAAAATAAGCCTGTTACAGTGTACGCATATGTTACCCATTTGAGAGTACACACTTTTGGTGTGCTTGGGAACAGTTACACAAGTACTGATAGAATACTGAGAAATGTAACAGGAGGCATTTTGCAGGCCTGGAAGAGTCTTTTTCTGAAGTAACAGGATAAAGTATTTTCTTTCAGGGACTGAAAGATCAACTGTTTGTTTTCTATTTGACAGGTCAACATGGTGATTGGCATTTTGGTATTTAATAAACTTGTTTCCAGAGATGGAATCCTAGATAAAAAGCTTAAACACAGAGCGGGGTAAGCAACAATTGGGTTATTTTAAAGTGCATAAAAATTGTATCACCTATTTTCGGTTACAGATATTCACCAAAAAATCTTTTGATTGTGCTTCAAACTTTTAATCAGTGTAACAGTGTGTCTAACAAATTCCATTCATCTCAAAAGCTGCTGTTGCATTATCATGAGGGAATGCAACTAAACAAACTAAACATAATAAAACACAAGTACAACAGTATTAAGTTAATAATAATGAGAATTAAACAAATCTGAATGGAGTTTTCATAAAGATGTCACACATGTAAAGTTGTTGCAGTTAGGAAAACATTTTCATGAACTGTGTGTACTGAAGGAACTGATTATTTTTTGTCTACCTGTCAACTTTAATTACTATGGTGGGAAATGTTACTCATTTGTGTAAACTCTTATAAAATATATTTTACAGCAATATATCCCTTACGGAGATCAATGCTACTCTGCCATTCTGCCTATGTGAAGAATTTGCCTTTGTTCTTACATCCATATCTACATAGATGTATGTTCTAAATTAGTGTAACAGAATTTCAAAGTAAAAAAGCATGTTTTAAAAGCAAAAAAAGAAAAAAGGTAAATGGAAATTCTGTGTTACTGATTATTTACTTGCATTTACATGCAAATTCTGTTTGTTATCATGAGAAGAAAGGATTATGACAGTGGTTGCATCAGAAACTGTTTTTCAGTGAATGACAGTGATTTGAAGTACTGCAGCAGCAAACCTAGATTAATTTCACAAGTGCACAACCACTTCTTAATGCTTATGAAAGTATATTTAAACTTTGCATAATTGTTTTTTTACAGCTACATATTCTAGTATTGCCTCTTGGGCCAGCTTGTAGTTAACACTACCAATATCTGCATTTCTAGCAATGAGATCTTTATTTTACTATATATTACTGCTATGGGTAAATTTATTACAGCTTCACTTTGAATTATTTTACCGTTTCACTAACAGTAGCATTCCTAATAAGTTCAATTCACTGGTTAGATAAGCAAATTTATGATAAATACTTCAGCTGGTGTGATTTGCATTTAATATTAATTCAATTAAATCTTTCTGGTTTTCAGCTCTCTAACCATTACTCTGACAAATATGTACCAAAAGCTTTGAATTTGTTTCTTCTCTTTTCATCATTTTTAATCAGAAAGTATTAATTTCTTAACCTTATTTTTGTCTACATTGCTCCATCAACATTCTTAACTGCCTAATAACACTGATAAAATCTAGAATATTATAAAACTACACAAATTATTTCAAGAGTAGCAATAACTTAGTAATCACCATTTCAAATTCACATCTGCTCTAATTCCGGTGATCTAAGGAGCTGGAGCAGGCACGGATTTTGCTTTGTACATTTTCTAAGGATATCCAAGCTTAGACTTCAGCTACTTAATTGTCGACTATAGAAATCTATTTGCATATAATATACTTTTCTGATAAAATAAATAACTTGCTAACAGTGTGCAACTTAGTAAAGAGGTATTTTATTTTAAAATAAATGGATAAAGAATCTGAACTTATTCTGTCAGAAACAATCCAGCTATTCTGAGAAAGCATGTAGATGCCCTAATGGAGAAGTAGTCTTAACATTTGTGGTAGTATGAGATGGTGGCTTGGCAACAGCATTCCTTGATACTACTTTGCAGATGAAGAGTCTTGAGTCATTCTTTGGGGCAAAGAAATTGGTGCAGCATTTGACCTCCAGCAGAAAAGGGATTGTCACTCATTTCTCACAAATATCTCTTGCCAGCCATGCTCAGGAAGGCAACGTCATTCTTTCTGGCAAAAGTTCAGTCAGCAGTTCAGCTGTAGAGATCATTTATGTAGGATTTAAAGCAGTGAATGGGGCAAAATATATTAACTCCATATGGGTTTTTTTCCCACCTTAATAAGCATATGGAGAATCAAGTGTCTTGATGGATATCAATCATTTTCCTGGCATAAGGGGTAGCACAGGTATATGCCCAGACAGAAAGATTGTGTTTGTTCTATATAAACATTGAGTTCTGTTCTATTTTGCAAAATCCAGAACAAATCTTAGAGGCAAAGAGAATAATCCAGTATGATAACGTTGAAGTATTGCCAAGCAAAGATGGAAAGTATTTTCCCAAGCTTAAGTTAAGTTTTTCCAATGCATTTTTCTAGTTCATTCATTAATGTAGACCTTTAATTGGCATAAACTGATGTGGATTCACTGAGTTCTTTTCACGTCTGACAATCGCTTTATACAAGGTCATGGTTCTCACTGTTTTTTTAATGAGAGAAACTGCATTTTTATGGAAAATATACTGCACTTTTTAATGGAAAGTCATCATTTGGTTTATCAAAATGGAAACCACTGGAGTTCAATGTGATCCTGGGAAGTATGTTAAAAATCTTGTGAATGCTGAATTTGGCAATAAAAAGGAGTTCTGTTGGTTGAAATAACTGTGAAAAAAAGCTGAAGTGTTTTCTGTCTTCATGATGTTGACCACTTTCCAGCTTGGAACTGGTAAAGCACCCTTCCTGTCACATCTCAGGCAGCTGTGGTTATTCCTGGTCCTGATAGCAGAAAGAATAATAAAGTTCTTTATTTAGTCAACTCAGGAAGTTGAATGCATGCTGTATGTAAAAGACAATTTAAATTCCAGGTTTTGCCCTTTAACTCTTCTGACAGGTGCCGAGGTACAATTGTCCATACAAAATGCTTTGAGCTTAATGCTTGTGTACTGTGTTTTATTAAAATGCAAAACAGGTCACCCTTTTTCTAGTACCAACTGATATTTATTTCATCAGATTCCATACATTTCAAGCCCTGTATTCAGACCTTCATATAGCATGAATAAAATCACTCCGGATGTTAGTGGGCCATTCAGATCACTAGTACAAATCTGACTATACAATACGCCCATACTGATTTGATGCTTTAATACATTTTACAGGTTTCT